TTTATAATTTTAAAACAAACAAGAATTCATATATGGACAACTCTAGAATTAAAAACAATAGAGAGTTAAAGTTGTTAAAGGAAACAAACCGCTTTTAATAACTCAACTTAATATGTTAAAGGCTTCAAATATGATTTTTCAATTTAAAAAAATAAATATTTTATAGCATGGTCCGTCAAGCCTCTAGCTCAACTAGCAAATATGGATAAACTAGTCAAATTTAAACTTGTTTACGCTCATTTCTTTAGTGAGCTCTCGACTCAGCTCGACTCATTTATACTCCAAACTCCGACCAACCATGGAACAATGTGCCATTTGTTAATTGAAAAAAAATTGTAATAATAACAACATTAAGAAAATTTACATGAGATTTGATAAACACAACATCATAATCATTATCATTATATTGGCATGAGATTTAACCTTTGCCTTGTTTTTGTAATTTAGCTACAAATTTCAATTTTGTTGAAAAACGACACAACTTTCGATCTTTGTTAAACAAGACACGAAATTTCGATCTCTATTTTTATGACATGCATGTCGCCTTTACTACTCGTGAAATAACGTATTAGGCAGGTAAGCGTTCCACGTCCAATTTATTGATTGTGCGCTTCAATTAGTAAACATCGAAAGCTCATTAATTTTATTGATAAAATTTAAAGATCGAAACTAAATTGCAAACCAATAAATGTCGAGATTAATTTGCAAATTGTTGAGAACAATAAAGTTCTGAAGTTACATGTGAAATAAAACATCATCAGACAGAGTAAATTTATTTTTATTTATAACATGCATGTCACTTTTACAACACGTAAAGTAACAAATTAGTCATGTAAGCATCCAACGTCCAAATGTGTGCTTCGATTTTTAAATATCAAAATCTCATTAATTTTATTGACAAAATGTAAATATTGAATCTAAATAAATTGCGAACGATTAAAGGTTGAAATTTATTTACAATTTAATTGCATAATAAATAAATAAAAAATGAATTTCATATGAATGGCTGCCTAAAAGTATTGAGATCCCGCCCAATTCCATCTTCCATCTGTCCCACAATTCCCATTTATCCATTTCAGTCTCCTTTGCACTTAATTGGTAACAATCGATAATGGAGACTATAAATCACCCGTAAACCCTTGTTTTCCTCCATCTTTTGAGCGTCGAATTATGCAGCAGCCGCAGCCGGAAGCGTCTAGAAAACAGCTGATTCACACCTCCATGACGCCGCCGTCGGGAGGCGGCGGCTATGGATATCATCGATTTACCGCCGGCGATCGTCAGCGCCGTGATCTGGATCAGGAATTCAAGGAAGCCGTCGTCGTCAGGACACCGCCTGTAAGCTTTTCGTTATTCTTTTCATTTGTTTTGCACGCTTTGCATTGGATGTTATGTGTTCATTGTCTTTTCACTCTGATGGTATCTGTGCTTAATTGAATTAAATTATGTTTGGGTATTAGAACTGTTGAAGGATTATTCGAGGATGGAATATTTATGTTCATAAGTCTATCTGGAAATGTGGTGAACTTAGATATTATTCAGATGTTAGCTAAGAATGTGCTCGACCCGTATTTTTCAGCTGGCTTTAAGCCTAATGATAATGTTTCTCTTGTTCTGTGTATGCGAAGATGTTTATTCAGTGAGCTTGCTTTTCGATCATAAACTGATGAATATGGGAATAGTTATTGGTACCGCTGCATTGCATGAGTTATATGATTCACTTGCTCGGGTCATTTTTCATTGGTCGCCTTACACAGATGTTTGCGTTTTCCATATGATGGATCTTTCCAAATTGTATAACTATACGTTAATCATTAGTGACAAGTGTAAAGCTTGATATTTAGTGGATTATATTGCTTTGTGGATTTTGTCTCTTAAATTTGCAATGTACCAGTCATATATTCTTTGAAATATCGTATGGACAAGTTATGTTGATGTCCTCCTTTAGTTGCTTCGGCGATCAAATTTTCATTATTTACTTGTGTCTCTTGTGAGTTATGTAGTGGTCTAAATTGGCCTTTTAGCTTATATGGGAAACCTTATTAAGGTACCTGATCATTTGTTAGTATAATTACTGTATAAGTGTGTTGTCTTTCGTCATCCAGTTTTATTTCAGGTGAAACTTACTTGATTTGAGATATAGTTTTAAATGACGTGTCACTAGATTTTAGACATAGTTTTAAATGGTGCCACCGCGGAGGCCCTGTCGCCGAAGCGTGCGCCTCATGGCGCATTTCTCTCGGCAAAGACGATGAAGCGTGCCTCTCCCCAGTTGCGCTTTAATTATAAAAATACAACGTTATTGGATTTGAATTTGGCTCCTCTTTTTCAGATTGAATTAGTGAATCTAAACTAGGTTCTTTTAGATTAGGGCAAAGTACCTTTATAAGCTACTTGGATCTGAAAATTGGAGGGACTAACGGCTGACCCAACCCATGACCGACTTCCTCTGACCACTAGCCGCCGTTGACCACCCGTTCCTTTTTTGGTTTCCTTTTTTATTTCATTTTCTGCTTCTTTATTTTTTTTCTTTATTTATGTGATTAGATCATGGGTTGCTCAAGCCTCAAGGCTAAGAATGTTAACTCCAAATTGTGCATTTTGAAGAATACAACCTCTGATGATAGAACTTGTCTATTTCTTTTCTGATTCACATAAATTCTACAACATAAACTTAATATTTTTTCCCTATCTGGGAGTGCTGTAATCACATTGAGGTTTTAGCTATTGGAAATTGGGATGCTTTTCATTTTAGTTTTTATGTCTATTTATTTTCTGTTTTTAATGTTCTTTTATAGATTCAAATTTACTTGTGTTATGTATTTGTGACGTGTTTCTTGCCTTATCAAGGGATATTTGAGGTCGACTTTGCCCTTTGAACTTAAATACGTAACCTTCACCATCTATTGTACTTTTTTGCAACATTTTGGTATATATGTTACCGAGGCGTCACCTATCGCCTCATGGCACATTCCATGGGCAAATTGCCAGTGATTATGACAATATATTTCTCTGCAAAAGCCATCCAAGAGGAAGAGTGGAATGCTCGAGTGTGAGACTGGACTTGCTGATCAAATTGTTGGTCCCTTCCGGACACCTGTCTCGGGAAAGACGGGAAAAGCCCAACCCAGAACAAGTAGGGCAAATAGAGTGGGTCCTCAGACTCCCTCAGGAAACATTGGTGAGGATCAGTTTCATTAGATTTCATGTTTAAATTTCAGATACTATTTATGATATCATCTCCCTCCCTCTCCCCTGATGAACATCCGTGTATTTTTGCAGGTTCCCCTGCTAGCAATGTTCTCACTCCAAATGGTACCTGTCGCTATGATAGCTCTTTAAGTAAGCAATATACTTAGCTTACTGCACTTTATTTTCAACCCTCCTTTGTTTTTGTTTGAATCATCTTTTTGCTATGGAATATGGATAGTCACTTGTGTTAGCATTCTAAATTTTTAATTGGTCCATAGGTGGACAAACTCAACGAACTGTGTTTTTTACCTCCAGGTCTCCTAACAAAGAAATTCACCAATCTGATAAAACATGCAGAAGATGGTATTATTGATTTGAATAATGCTGCAGACATATTGGAGGTGATTGCACCTGTCATTCGATGCTTCGCTTTGAACAGGTCTTAGTGGATGAAAGATTTTATCTTGGTTTATTGTTTTATTTTCCTCAAACAGGTCCAAAAGAGGCGTATATATGATATAACTAATGTTCTTGAAGGCATTGGTCTGATAGAAAAGACACTCAAAAACAGAATCCAGTGGAAGTAAGGACATCACTTATCTGATATAAATTTGTTTCGGGTTTAGACAATCTCTTTTCCTTGGAATAAATGAAAAAAATACCATTTACCAATTGATATTTTTGTCAAATAGGGGTGCGGATGTCTCCAGACCAGCACAAGCCCAGGACAACATCTCTGGTTTGAGGGTAAGAATATAAGCAGAATTTTGTGTGCTTGTTGGGAAATGCTATAAGTTCTTATGATTTTTTTATTTTTTTTTTCAGAAAGAAATACAAAACCTGAAGATGGAGGAACAGGGATTAGACGAACGAATTAGGTCTCAAAAATTCCTTGCCAGCTAGATTTATTTATTTATTTATTTTTTCCAATTTCGTCTTTGAGCGTGCCAGTCTTCTGATTAGCCTTTTATTTATATACTTATAATTTTACCAGAGAAATGCAAGAAAAATTGACAGACCTCAGTGAAGATGAAAATAATCAAAGGTGACACCACCATTCTACCGGATTACTGAAATAATAATTATGATTTTAGTTCAGTCACTCAATTTGATTTGTCAATTTATCTGCCAGGTGGCTTTTTGTTACTGAAGAAGATATCAAGAACTTACCTTGCTTCCAGGTACACAAGTTTCCAATCAACTCACTATGAATTTAACTTTGGATTAACACTAAATCATCATAATTGTGCTGCTTTCTCCAGAATCAAACTCTGATAGCAATTAAAGCTCCACATGGCACTACTTTAGAAGTTCCTGATCCAGACGAGGTTAACTTTTCTCAAGACACTAATTATTTAGACCACCTTTTACGATTTTCGGTGGGCAGTAATTCTGCCATAAATTCTAGTTAATTTTCGTACTACAGACTGTAGATTATTCACAGAGGAGATACAGAATAATACTTCGAAGCACCATGGGACCCATAGATGTTTATCTCGTCAGGTATATAAAAGTTAACTCCAGGGTGTTGAAATTTGACTCTCTCAAATCTGTTTTATGTCTACCATTTCACGTCACTGTTCTATATTTTTCATTTTGTATAATATAGCCGATTTGAAGAAAATTTCGAGGAGATGAAAACGGTTGAGGCACAACCAAGAATTTTCCAAACATCGAGTTTGAATACGGAATCTCACGCACGTGCACCAACGGACGAGATTACCGGACACGAAATTGATTGCCCGGGGTCGAAAGCTCACGAGGTGTGCCCGGGCACAAGTACATCACAAGATTTTGTGGGTAGGATGGTGAGGATATTACCGGATGGTGATGTAAGTCAATCAGTTAAAGCATGGTCATGGATGCTAAATTTACTACAACTTAAAGCTGTTTTGCCTTACTACAAATATAAAATCTATCCTCTTTCGAAGTATGAAATTTCCTTCCGATGTATGCCACTAAATATTTCACAAGTTGCATGCCACTAAGGGCTGGTCTAATATAACTGATTCTAACCTCATGGGCTATTCGTAGTTCTTATTGGTGGTATCTTTACTTCATTTTAGAAAATAATATAGTTGAGAAATTTATTGCATATAAACCAAACCTTAGGAGTGGTAGCTAAAAGCCTAAAACTATCTGGTTTACTCAAGCACTAGTGAGAGAGAACAAATCCTTTTCCTAGAGGTGGATTATATTCAAATAAACTTCTTTTGGTACGAAAAGATCTCGAGCTTATCTCATAAGCTGCCTTGGTAGCTTTTCAGATAAGCTCGTTTTTATTTGAGCTAGTTTGTCAGCTAATTTTACCAAACACTTTAGCTAGCTAGCTTATCACTTATTAGTTAATTTTATCAAACACTTTAGCTAGCTAGCTTATCACTTATCAACTAGTTACCAAACATAGTATATGTACAATCTTAAAGCATTCCAGTGTTTTTGACTGTGTTTATCTGAACTCTAAACGTGTTATTTTGTTCGGACATCTTGCAGACAGACGCTGATTATTGGCTGCTGTCGGATGCTGATGTCAGCATCACCGACATGTGGGGAGCGCAATGTATCCTAAATCAAATTTTCTTCATACAGTCATCAATAACTTAATAAATCAAGATGCCTTTTTTTTTACACGAACTAAAATCCATGACTAAATACTATAGCTGGATTCGACTGGGATACTTTGAACACACTACCCGAAGACAATGCCATCACTAACCTCAGCCCACCACCGGTTCAAACTACACCGAAAGCTAACTGCAGGGCAAGACAATTTCTTGCTTGCAAGACTACAGAGAATATGCAAAGTGAATTGGTTAGAAAAATGCTTTGATTTAGTGTTTGCCAAAGAGGAAACACACAACTACACAAGACGGGGACGAATGAACGAAAACGCGCCAAGTTTCAGGGGTCGATGGCTGTCGATTGCTGATCTCACATTTCATCTGGTGAGGGCATGTGTTTTTTTATTAACATTTTCCCTGATTGGACTTTTTTTTTTCCTTCTTATATTATCAGAATTAAAATGACAAGTTGTAAATTGGGGGTTGGTTTGGTCCCCCCAGTTTGTTATAACTTATAAAACAGGGAGGAAATGGAGGATGTCAGATATGGTTATGGAAGTACATTTTCTGGTGAATTTATAGAGAGGTCCATTTATAGACTCAAACATTATGAAAATCAGTAGCATTTTTCTTACATTTCTTGTTATATATTTTTTATATAATTCATTATAGTATATTATATTCATTCATGTTTCATTTACGATCATTGGATTTTGATTCATAATATATGAATGAAGTTAATGAACTTAACCAAATCACTATTCAGTATGATCTCCCTATTGAACAAATAGATACATATATCAACACCTTTTCTGTTTTTTAAAAATGTGTCATTACATGGTACACTCCCGCTCACCTGAACACGGTGGGCAGTGCCCACTAGTTTGTTTTATATGAAAAACGTATTCTGAGAATACGTTTTTCAATTAAATTGTTTTATATGAAAAACATATTCTGAGAATACGTTTTTCAATTAAATTTAATTGAAAAACGTATTCTCAGAATACGTTTTTCATATAAAACAAACTAGTGGACACTGCCCATCGTG